CAGTGGGTTGCTAGGCAGTTGCAATGGTATTAAACATGGTTGAAAGAGTTTTAGTAGCTGGTTTCTGTGGTAGTTTGGGTGGAGATGTTGATGCAGTGTTCCAGGTGGCTGTTAGGGTGTTACGACTCAGTTGCTAAGGTATCTTCGTTGCTAAGATGTTGCTGTGGCATCTTTGGTGGTTGCTGTGCAGGTTGCTACAGCATTCCAGGTGCTTACTAGGATACTGCTAAGTGGTTGCCATGGTATCTGGTAGTTGCTAGGGGGTTTGCTAGTGGAGTTGCTATGTATGTTCCAGGTAGTTGCTATGTGTTCGAGTTAGCGGATAAATAGCAGCAGAAAAAAAGGAAGAACATAAATTGGACTATAATAGTCTTGCACATTGCACAATTGCCTTTTATGTAATATAATGTGAATGTAAAGCAAAACAACAATAATAATAATAATAATAATAATAATTCAAGTCTTACAAGTAGGGATGTACAATAATATCTGAATAATATCAGTATCGGCAGATACTTTTTTTTAAAGATCGCCGATGTTCAGATTTGACTGATAGCTGAGCTTTTTAGTATCAACAATATTGACAGATATTTACATGAAAAGTATCGGGTATCGGCCGAGACCTCACGTATCAGTGCATCCCTAACCAATACACACACAGTAAACTTACACATTTATCGTTTGTCCTCTTGATCTTTTTCGTGGGCTGGTGGGTGTGGAGGGAAAGAAGAGGACACATTTAAGGACTTACAGTAATTCTGTAATTAGCATAATTAAAGAAGTCAATTAAGTCAACATTATTTAAGGAAATCAACACTACATTCAGTTCAAGTAGTTGGAATATTTGACATCAAACAAAATCATGTTTACATTTTATGAATATGTTTTATATGCATGTTTTGAACATACCTTCGCAGGATCTGAGGAGGCTCTTTCTAAAGAGGCTTTTCTGATCTCACCCCTGATAAAGTTATCCAAAACAGACTGGAACAGGTTCACCACCATGGGCACTTCGTCCTTCTTCTTCTGCCCGGCCAGGCTGGTCACTTTGCTCTTGTAACCCTGCAGCAGCCCTTTGTAGCTAACCTGGGGGTTCTGTTTGGCACAGGAGAAAGCAGATCAGGTTAAAATATATCCGGTAAAATGACAGTATGCACATTTTTACTCTTAACCCAAATGAAGTCAATCAGCCAAGACATCTCTGGCCAAACTAGCTGGAGATGCAGGTGGTTCATACTCACGGAGACGGAGTACATGCTTTTGATGGTGTCTCTGAACTGCGTGGTAGCTTTGAGGAAGATCTCTTCTGTCTCTGAGCGAACCTTCGCTTGTGAATGGAGATCATTCATCTGCGTTTGAACACACCAAGAACAGACCTAAAACTCACCGGCCACTTTATTAGAAACACTCCCTTGTGTTTACACTAACTGCCCACATTATCAGAAACACCCTCTTTGTGCCTACACTAACTGGCCACTTCATTAGAAACACCCACCCTGTACTTCCACTCACTGGCCACTTTATTAGAAACACCCACCTTGTGCTTCCACTGACTGGCCACTTTATTAGAAACACCCCCCTCATGAACCTGCTCTAAATGCAGGTTTGTGATATAAACTTCATCTCTGCCCTGATTTTCACAGACTCACCTGATTTCCCAGATACTCGTCCAGGTGGCGCAGCTCGTCGGAGTCCGTTATCTGTCGGTCCAGAAAGGCGTCCCACTGGTCCTGGACGCGCGTCCCCCGGCTGATCCGGATGGTGGGGTTACGGCGTTTGCGGTTGGGCAGAGTGGACACAGTGGTGGGATTGGGATAGTACGAGTGGGGGCTTCCATCTACAGGACAGCAACACAGTGAGTGAGACAGAAAAGAGTAACTCTGGACATGTTTGAGCCCACAAACTTACACTCGCCTCGTTCATCTCTCTCAGCGAGCGTCCTCGCCATGGTAACGCTCCCATCCTGAGGCGTCAGACGCTTCTTTTGGCCTTTCGGTAAAAACTTGGCAAAGAATGTAGTTCTGCAACATTCGTTAATGGGGAGGAAAAGTTAGACATGTAAAAGTTCAGTCTAAAAAAAATGATGTCAAACAGCTTTAAAGCACCAATTCAGCTCGGATTCAGAACATTCGGAATAAAAGTAGATTTATTCTGTAAATGAATAATAAGATAAATAAACATATATATGGCTGTAATTAGGTAAGGAGTTACTCACTTCTCTGGAGTGACCTGACTGGGCAGCACCAAGCTGCCTCTCTTACTGATCTTTGAGCCGTCTGGTTCTAAAGGCATCTGAAAGGAGAAGAGCCGTGTTATAATAACTATTCATCAGCAGGAGGAACTTTTCCTGGGATGGTTTTCTGGACACAGATCAGGATTATTTGGCCAGATTTCCTAAATGGCAATCTTAATTATATATCAGCTCCACTGACCGTATAGTTTCACTCTGTAGTTCTACAGTTACAGACTGTAGTCCATCTGTTTCTCTGATACTTTGTTACCCTGTTCTTCAGTGGTCAGGACCCCCATGGACCCTCACAGAGCAGGTACTATTTGGGTGGTGGATCATTCTCAGCACTGCAGTAACACTGACGTGGTGGTGGTGTGTTAGTGTGTGTTGCGCTGGTGCGAGTGGATCAGACACAGCAGTGCTGCTGGAGTTTTTAAACACTGTGTCCACTCTCTGTCCACTCTATTAGACACTCCTACCTTGTCGGTCCACCTTGTAGATGTAAAGTCAGAGACGATAGCTCATCTGCTGCTGCACAGTTTGTGTTGGTCATCCTCTAGTCCTTCATCAGTGGTCACAGGACGCTGCCCACAGGACGCTGTTGGCTGGATATTTTTGGTTGGTGGACTATTCTCAGTCCAGCAGTGACACTGAGGTGTTTAAAAACTCCAGCAGCACTGCTGTGTCTGATCCACTCAGACCAGCGCAACACACACTAACACACCACCACCACGTCAGTGTTACTGCAGTGCTGAGAATGACCCACCACCCAAATAGTACCTGCTCTGTGGGGGTCCATGGGGGTCCTGACCACTGAAGAACAGGGTAACAGAGTATGCAGAGAAACAGATGGACCACAGTCTGTAACTGTAGAACTACAGAGTGAAACTATACGGTCAGTGGAGCTGATAAAGTGGACAGTAAGTGTAGAAATAGGAAAACAGACCAAACTCTAACGCTGTGTATGGAAGGTTAGAGAGGTTAAAAGATTCTTCACTGCAGATCATTTTCGGTCTATGACTGAACTTAAACTGTGTCCAGAGAACCAAACCCTTTAAGGCTTGAGACCAAAACCTTCATCGGAGAACATCGTAGAGAACCAGACCGCAGGAGGAAAGTAAATGATTCAGTTATTAGGCACGAAAACGTCCTTTCAGACACCTTAGCGGTCGACACTCGGCCGCTCTCCACCTCCACACCGCTGACCCATGCTGAAACCGAGCGTGAGCTGAAGAAAAGCTGCACTTCCAGAGGAATAAGTGATGTTTTAGAACCGCTGTACGATTTATAAACAATGCACAGATGGTGTCGATCATGCTCGGACAGATTTAGAACAGATACATTAATATTACATAAACGTTCCCATCACCACTGGACAGTAAAAGCAGGGAGGTGAAAAGCCCACTGCATGCAGCCCTCCTTTTCACCCAACCTGTGACCTTTTTTGCTAAAAATGACCGTTTCTAACTCCTAATCAGGAAAATCTGTATATTTAAGCCCCTTAAATCCTAAGTTTCATAGTAAATCCAGAATAATTTGGACTATTTTCTGAACAATAAGCCTTAAAACTGAATAAGAAGAGCAGCTTAGGCTTCAAGGGGTTAAAATAAACCTGTAGGTAATGATTAGTTCAGGTTGTCCTACTTTGTGAGTTTAACAGGAAGACTAATGCTGTGTTTACGATGGTCCGGTGTAGCAGAGCAACTCAGTAGGTCCCTTTCATTTGCTATAGGAAGTGTTCTGTCTGTCACAGAAGCTGATTATTTTAGACCAAAAGGATCCAAAAAGAGAAGAATAAAGCTGCACAAACTTCAGTTCCTATTTCCGCCAGTTTCATATCTGAATTGTCTGTCTGCTGATATATTCCAGCGTCTGAGGCATAAAGCCAGTTTTAACACTACTTTTAACATTAACTTATGCAAATTTATCTGCCGAATGATGTGATGCTTTTCCTCAAAAGGTCAATCATGAAACTTTTGCTCTGCTTATCAAGCATCAACAAGCGACATTCCCATATAAGAACAGCAGCAAATGCCCAAAAATGTATATTAATATCATTGGTTGGACATTAATATAGTGAAATCTATATACAATCTAATCTACATACTGGACAATATTAGTTTAATGACACACTACACTGCCTTTATGATTTTTAAAAACATTATCAAAGCATTAATTCCATTAATGTTGACTTGGAAAGTCTCCCATAGCCGCACCGGACCAGCATAAACGCATCGTAAATGGTTAATAAAGTGGATCTGGGTGCGTTATGTGATAAAACAAATCAAATAGAGAAAGTCCACAATTACTGACATCTTTAGTAAAGATGAGCAAAAAACAACATGGACAAAACGACATTTCACTGCAAATAAGAGAAACCAAAACACATTTCAGTGAAGAGAAGCTTTTCATTGCGACCAAGGGTGCCAATAATTCTGGAGGCCGTGTTTCAGACTTTCAGCTTCACTGGGTGCAGCAGCGAGACGCTTTACTGTATACACGGCAAAAAATTACATCCTGGTACGTGAACTGATCTTAAATGTAGTCTATACGGCGAATGTTTATCCCAGTGAGTCTTGTACGCTTAGTATAAGATAAAGTTAAACTTATTTCGAGACATTTTCAGCTTGTTTTAAGTCATTTTATCATGTAAAATCCTCACTATGTTGGTGGTTGTCTTTAAAAAAAAACGTATCTGACAAGACAAGAAAAACAAGTCAATAATGTCCAGAAATACGTTGAATAATCTTATAATATTATTATAACCACATCAGAATGATAAATATTGGACATATTGACTAGATTTAACATGATTTCCTTTGATACCATTTTATGCTGTGTAGGAGCGTACAGTCCCACTCAGTGTGGTTAGCAAGTAAGACCATTTTGCTGTCACAAAGGCAAAGCTAACAATGCTAAGAATGCTAAGAATGCTAACAAAAAAGGTCAGAAACCCGCCGCTGCTGAAGAAGAACAAAGATAAAGCGCTCAGCCGTCTCAAGAGCCCGATTTCCTAGAAGACAACGAGATTTACGGCTGCAGAACATTCCAGTTTCCAGTACTCAAGCTGAGTGAGGGAACGTTAAAGGAACACGGTTCAGCGAAAAAATCCAATTTACACAGTCGCCCCTCCGGTCAGCCAAGACATGTTCGGTGTCCAGTTTGCCCTTTTTGGTGCTGCATAGAACCATCGTTAAAAAGGTTTTATATAGAACCATGTGCAACACATTCTCCATCCATCGCCATCATCATATGGTTCTACATAGCACCAAAAAGGGTTCTTCTATTGTTATGATGTCAAGCTTCTAACAACAGAAGAATCTTTTTTGGTGCTATACAGATCCACATGCAACACTGCAGAACCATTTCACCACGCAGAGAACCAGTTAAGCATGCAAATGCACCACTGCCTTTCTACTAAAGAACTAAAGAACCCTTGAAGAACCATCTTTTTTAACGTTGGAGCTGATGATTTATTTTAGAAACACTTTCTTGCAGCACTCTTAAAATCTGATAGCAAACAATAAATCAAACACTCCAACAGTATATAAATGGTTCTCTGTGGAGGCCACAGGACTGTAAACACCCCGTCCAGTCGTTTCATTCGGACTGAGTGAAATGACTGGATGGCCTAATGACCTCAAGACCTGCTCACACACACACACACACACACACACACACACACACACACACACACGTACACACACACACACACGCACAGCTGAAAAGCAGCGAGCTCGGTTCACAAGAACAGCAGAGGAAGTTCCACAGGTACCTACAGCAGCTCACACAGCTGAGGTAAAAAAGAAAAGAAAGACAGAAGCAGAAAAGGCTTTGAACAGAAAGAGGTCAGATAAAGCGAGAGGTCAAACCAGAGTGACCATCAGTGTGGAGAAACCTGAGGGAGCTGAAAGGCTGGAAAGGGGCTGCTGATTTTCTGTTAGACAGGTAATTATCTGTTTGATTCGTTTATGGGGAATTAGTTATTTTCCTGGATTACGTAGCCGACGTAGCTGCGTATGTAGCTACATTATGTACTAGGAGAGCCGGTTTCTGAGGAGTCTGGCCTCTTCCTGTTTCCCTCGTTATATAAAAACATGACTGCAAAACACTAGAGGGCGCCCGTGAGCGAGTCCTCAATAAATGGGGGTGAATAGAGTGCTGATTGTACTGCTACTGAGAGCTGACTGATTAAGATTACTGCTACTGAGTGCTGATTGGTTAACATTACTGCTACTGAGTGCTGATTGGTTAACATTACTGCTACTGAGTGCTGATTGGTTAACATTACTGATACTGAGTGCTGATTGGTTAGTATTACTGCTACTGAGTGCTGATTGGTTAGTATTATTGCTACGGAGTGCTGATTGGTTAGCATTACTGCTACTGAGTGCTGATTGGTTAGCATTACTGCTACTGAGCACTAATTGGTTAAGATTACTGCTCCGAGTGCTGACTGGTTAGCATTACTGCTACTGAGTGCTGATTGGTTAGTATTACTGCTACTGAGTGCTGATTGGTTAGCATTACTGCTACTGAGCACTGATTGGTTAAGATTACTGCTCCGAGTGCTGACTGGTTAGCGTTACTGCTACTGAGTGCTGATTGGTTAGTATTACTGCTACTGAGTGCTGATTGGTTAGCATTACTGCTACTGAGCACTGATTGGTTAAGATTACTGCTCCAAGTGCTGACTGGTTAGCGTTACTGCTACTGAGTGCTGATTGGTTAGCATTACTGCTACTGAGCACTGATTGGTTAAGATTACTGCTACTGAGCACTGACTGGTTAGCATTACTGCTACTGAGCGCTGACTGGTTAGCATTACTGCTACTGAGTGCTGACTGGTTAGCATTACTGCTAGTGAGTGCTGACTGGTTAGCATTACTGCTACTGAGTGCTGATTGGTTAGTATTACTGCTACTGAGTGCTGATTGGTTAGCATTACTGCTACTGAGTGCTGATTGGTTAGCGTTACTGCTACTGAGTGCTGATTGGTTAGTGTTACTGCTACTGAGTGCTGATTGGTTAAGATTACTGCTCTGAGCACTGACTGGTTAGCCTTTAATGATTACTTGCTACAGTAATTTATATATTAATTGTTGTTAAAGGGGAATTCCATTGATTTAAAAGTTTCCGTATAATTAAGTGTTTCAGACACAAACAAAGTCATTCAGTTTGGTTTCGCGTAAAATGCTGTTCTAGAGAAACTCGGAACTGTTCACAGTGGTGGTGATAGGAACCAGACGTCCACCTCTAAAAGCTCCCTCACAGAAAGTTCCTACATGAAATGGTTATGAATTCACTGCCTGATGACTGAGACACTGTTTTATGATAGTTTAGAGAACTTAAACTCCATTCATGATGGAGGGATACATGCAGGGCGCTGTGAGGCAAAATAGTCCCCAAAGAAAACTTATTATTTCAGATTTTCCACTATTTTCCATCATCAACATTCCATATAAGCTCAGAAGACTCGTGTAGGTTCACTGGTGGTTCTGGATAGTAAATAAAATGTCTATATTTGTGTTGTAGTCATGGCGACCCCTGGTTCCTATCACCACCACTGAAAAGACATCTGAACCATTTCACACCAAACCACTCTGAATCACTCTGATTACACCTCAGTGATTGAAGTAAGCAGAAATTTAGCAAAATTGGTGGAATTCCCCTTTAAATATATAAGAAAATAAGCAAGCAAGCAAGCAAGCCTCATAGCTCCAGTGCAGAACTAAAGAAGACTGAAACAGCGAACATGTCTCGGCTGACCGACTGTACTCTGGGTAAGGAGTGAACTGTGGAAATCTGATTTTTCACCAGACTGGCCCTTTAATCTGAAGGTGTGCATGCAGAGCCCCACTATCCTGCCCTGCCTGCTCGGGTTTGGGCTCATGCCGTCACCTGGGCTTCATGTAGCCCGACGGGGTCGCTGGTTCTGAAGGGCTCAGCGGGGCTGAGGGGGGGCAGGGGGAAGCTCCAGTACTCCAGGTCTCCGGCCTCCATGCCCTTTAGCATTAGGCCGCTGCGGGGGCGGGCCAGACGCCGCTTGTGCCTGGAGCGCCTGCGGCTACGCATCTTCACCTAGTGATGTGTGAACCACCGTTTCAGAAGCTACATCAACCACAGACGGTGAAGGAGGTTCGCAGTAATGGCTGAGGTTCATCCACAACAGTATCACTTACACATTCCAGTTCATACTTACAGACAAGTGAAGACCACATGCATGAAAATTTGGAGAAAAATCTAATGTGGCCAGTTTTTCCCCCTCTTAGCCCAAAGGTGATCAGCCAGGACATGTTTTACATTGCTTTACAATGATTTTGCAAACATTTTAGGCCTAAAACATATATTTTTAATCCATTAATGATAAGTAAATTGCTGCTGTCGGAGCAAAACCTCATATCTTCAAAACGGTAACTTTACAGGACAAGGAACAAACATACTTTACTTTAACGTATGTAAATGGAACCAGAGTTTTTTCCAAGTCGTTTTGGGTCGTTTCTTTTGGTCCATTCATCGTGAAATCTACATATAATGTAAAGGACAACAGGCATTTACAAATTATGCCAAAAACTGAAAAACGACAGAAAATGGATAAACGAGGTTTTGTTCCAACAGCAGCGAAATGGTAGTGACATATAGTATGGTAGTAAATAACATGGTGACCTCTGGTTCCTATCACCACCACTGTAAAGAAATCTGAGTCTCTAAAATCACATCAAACAACTCTGAATCACTCTGTTTACATCTTACACACTAAATTTTGCTGAAATTTCGAAAAAACAAAATCTAAGAATTCCCTTTCAAATGTCCTGAATGGGTCAGATCAGTTGGATTTATGAGAAAATGATACTTCATGGTTTCTTACAGGCATTTAGAGCTGAATTCCTGCAGATTTTCGAAATGTCTCAAGCTCAAGGGCGTGGCTTTGGAGCTCGCTCATTTATTCGAGTAGTGCACGTGTGGCAGCCTGAGGTTTCTCCAGCAGGGGGAGCTACTAGGACACAAGTTGCCTTTGTGTGAGTCATTTAAAGAGGAGAAACAGCCTCGAATGCATATTTCAGCTTTTTATATTTTCAGCTTTCGTTTTTTTTCATCTCTGTATTATATTCCTTAGCTAAAAACAGAACAGAAAGTGAGACCCCTCTGGTGGAGATGTGTAACTGCACGCAGAACATTCTGTAGCTGAACGGATAAATTAGACAACTGAAAGAGAACTCAGTCTAAACTCTGTGAAGGAGCGACTCTGAGGATGAGAGTGAATTATCTACTATTGTATCACATCTTCATCAGTGTGATGTTGATTCTGAGATCATTTGAGGCCGAAACATCGAGCCGGACCTTCTTTTAGAGTCTGAGTGTGATGTTAATACGTAAAGACGTACGACGTGGAGTGAAAAACTCCTGCAAGTCTATTAGAGATTATTTAACAGCTCCACAGGTTTGAGGCAATGCTCAGAACCAAAGAATGTCTTGGCTGATCAAGCACATTTGGAGTGAGGGGGGGAGAACTGGAGACTGTTTGTGATGCGCATCAGTCCTCCTGTTGTACAATACCTCGTTCTTAGACGGAGAGGAATTGTCTGACTCAGAGGAGCTGAACTTGGACAGGTTCTCCAAAGACATGGAGATCCCTCGACTCCTAAAATCAGAAAAAAAACGATAGAGCGCAGGAGATTAGCCACAAAAACATGAAGAAACACCGAGAGACTTTTAAAGTGAATGGAAGAAAAAAGGTATGAAGATCCCTGAGATGAGGAGTTCTTACTTTAAGCTTTTTTGGTCCTTCAAACCGGATCTGTCAGGCAGCAAAATCTCGCTCCGTCTCTCCTTCCACTTCTCCACCTTCTCCTTCATGGTGGACGGTTTGGAGTAGCGCTGCAGAGGTGCTGTGTTGGAGGCCTCGTCCTGAATGGGCTGGGCCAACTTCGGGCCACTGTTCAGATCTAGAGTGCCCTGACGAGTTGGGGCTGGAGAGGGAGACTCGTTCTCTTTATCTCTCCTCTCTTTCTCTCCTCTCTCCCTCTGTCTCTGCATGCTAACTTGTTCTTGACCATTGAATTTCCCTGAAGGATCCTCAGTGCTGGCGGAGACATGGCTGCTGTTCTCCTCCACGCTCTTGTTACCTGGTGAGACGGTCTGGTTGGGCAGTGAGGGCAGAGGCTTTGTTTTACCACCAGGGGGCAGCGTTACCTCCTCCTTCCTCTCTCCCATCCCTGGGCTGCCCTTAGCGGCTTCCGCCTCTCTCAGCTTGGCGTCCTCTGCACGCCTGAGAGAAAAACACAACCAATTAGTGAGTAACTCTGAGGTAGCATACCTTTAAAACTTGGACGTAAACAAAAATGTTTTTGGTGTTTTTGATAGTTCTGTTCCTCATTTAAAGGAGTTTTTACACAAAAATAAAATTTTACATGAATTTCCACTTTTGCCATGCCACAAAGACAAAATCTTCATACGTTTGCTACAAACTATGAAAAAAAACAACCAAAAAACAGCATGGACAGACATAAGCAAAAAATCGATATGTGGCTAAAAGGGTCCTTGGAGTCAAAAAGATTTTTCAAATTTCTTTTTCCCCCAAAAAGATTTTACAAAAAGATTTCTACTCATTTTCACTCATTCTGCTACAGATTTATTACTCATTTTGCCAGTTTTTGCTTAAATGTTTTTCCATTAACCGATTTTGCTGATGCATTGTTTGCTTTCAGAATCGCTATTTTGCTTCTAACTTTTGGCACTTTTAGCAGGGGGCGGGGCTTAGAAGAGGGCATTGATCTGCACTTTCTATTGGTCTGATTTGGACTGACAGATCCATCGACATAATTTGAAGCAAATATATGAAGATTTTGGCCTGTATTTGTGGAAACGGTGACTATTGACATCCAGTGTTTCTTAGCACCGTTAGCCTAGCAGCTTCAATTCTTAGCCACGCCCACTCCACGATCCGTGATCTGCCTTGACCGTAGCAGAGCACTCCGTTCTGAGTGTAGTATTGCCAGAGAGGACCGTGCTCATGGATTTTATAATTTTATAATTTTATTCCAAACTTTTGGCACAAAATTAACTCAAAATTAACTAATTAATATTTGGGTGACTATTGACTATCAGTGTTTGTTAGCAACATTAACCTAGCAGCTCCAGTTCTAAACTAAAGAAGCAAACTTGTTTGGGCTGATTTGTTTTTCTCCACCGAAACATTCCTTTGAGGATTAACAGCAAAGATTTCAACACTGAACAGTTGCTAGTTCAGTACACTAGGTGGCGCAGTGTGTGTGCTTTACTCTCCAGTCGAGCAGCGAGAAGAAGTCTAGCTGTTCACTCACAACAGCACAAAGCAGAGTCTGTCTCACTAAGCAGGGTTTCTTGCTTATCCAGCTAACTTTAAGCTTAGACTGATCTAAACCTGGACTGTCTGTCACAGCGGAGAACCACCTTTAACTGGGATAGATTACCACAGTGCTGCACGCCTGACCTGCTCCAGGGCTGACTAAGTTAAGGGAGTAAATCTGAAAAGTACGCTCTTAAAGATGGTTCTTCAAGGGTTCTTTAGTAAAGCGAATGGTTCTATATAGAAGAAGAACTCGAAGAACCCTTTGCGAGATTAAATGGTTCTTTGCATCATGGAATGGTTCTTCAGATCAGTGGAGAATGTGCTGTAGATGGTTCTATATAGAACCTTTTTCTGTATAGCACGAAAAAGCTCTTCTATTGTTACAAGCTTGACATACTAACAGAACCCTCTTTGGCGCTATATAGAACCCTTTTCAAAAAGTTTCTATATAGAACCATCTACAGCACATCCTCCATCAGTCTGAAGAAGAACCATTTAATGATGCAAAGAACCATTTAATCTCGCAATGGGTTCTCCGAGTTCTTCTTCTATACAGAACCATTCCCTTTACTAAAGAACCCTTTGAAGAACCATCACTGAAGAGTGTAGTGTGACATCATAAGGACTGAAGAACTCTTTTTGGTGCTACACTGAACCATTTTCAAAAGGTTCCATATAAAAGCATATACACCACATATTCGTCAGCAATCTGAAGAACCATTTCACTATGCAAAGAACCATTTAAGCATGCAAATGGCTCTATATAGATCTCATGGTTCTAAATAGAACCATTTCCTTTACTAAAAACCCTTGAGGAACCATCTTTTTTTAAGAGTGTTGTTATAAATATTGACAATGTACCTTCAAAAGCTGAACTTCAGCTAGTTTAATGATATGAATGACTCTAATGTTCTCATCCTGTACAAATTAGCAGGTTCCAGGTAATTAGTAGGGCACTAGAACCTGTAAACTGTGTAAGTTATTACTGTATCCAACTTCCAAATGAGTGTGATGAACCTTGAGAATCGGAACCGTGGCTTTAAACTTCGACCAAGCGTAGCGTTAAACTTGTTCCTTCTTACCTCCTGCGTTCGGCGGTCTTCTGCAGCTGCTGCAGCTTTCGGAGGCTCTCTCTCTGGCGGAGATACTCGGTTCTCCGATGAGACTCTCTCCAGGCCATCTGGATCACTGAGGCTGCCCTGCAGCGCGTCGACTCACAGTAACCACGCCAGGACCGCTGCAATAAAACATCCCCGATCACTATATACATACATACATACATACATACATACATACATACATACATACGTACCACCTGTCACTGTTCACACATTAAACACTCATTACATCGAGTTGACGTTAGTGTGGTGACAAATTAGCCGCTGGCTTTTCCAACCTGTCTAGTTTTGTTTAGCTACAACAACACAGTCCAGCTCAGTAGTGTAGCATTTTAAAGCTGAAACTCAAGTTTTAGTAGTGACATCACACAAATACACAACATACAGCTACGGATCCTCCATTAAATTACATAGGACTTCTGACAGCATTCATCAGCAGCGTTCATGTGAGGACATCAGCAGTCGGCGCTGTACTGGTCAGCTGTAGTGTTGGCTTGTTAGCTCATCTGAAGAGGCAGCCCTCATAACATCTGTAACAAACACTAGAAGTCAATAGTCACCCAAATCTTCTCCGTAAATACATCCACAACAACCTCTCTCAACCTGCTCAAACCGCATCCAGGTCTTCATTAGGGTGGTGCAGAGTTGCAGATGTGGTTAATGACGTACCATAAACTGAAAACATTAATAAATCTTTGCTGTGTAGCTGAATGCACGGGTCAGTCACTTTAGACTACAGTGCCAAACTCGGCCTCCCTCACAGAATCCGACTCCACTTCACATTAGAGCTGCTTGATTATGAAAAATCCTAAAAGCAATGATATTGATATATTGAGATGATGATTATTTAACATGATTACTTCTGAAACATCATGCATTTACTGAACTTTTTAACATATACAACTTTTTAACAGTGGATTTTTAATTGAAAACGAAAATTTTAAATGTAAAACAATATATAAATAAACAAAATAAATAATATATAAATATATACGTTTAAATCAATGACAACAAATAATTAATAAAAATAAATATGATAAAAATAAGTAAGATCAACTATGCTGTAGTGACTTCCACTCCTACTACTAAACATATAATAAAAATTATAATAAATAAAATAAATGACACAAGTAAATTAGATGAGTTTGGGCTTTTAGGGAGGGGCGATGTACAGAAAGAGAGACAAAATGAAAACATCATGACGAACAAAAATCGTTTTCTCTCGATTATTTTGTTTTCATAATTGCTGGAAGCCAAAATCATTCAAGAAAATAAAATTCAATTAATCGTCCAGCTCTACTTCACACTCACTCACGGATTACAGTGATTATTTAAGCTGTATCTTTTTAGAAACTTACTTCAAGATTTACAGTTATTTTTCAACGGAAATAACAAGACGTGATCTGTATCGTCCATGTTGTCTGAAGTCACTGACCCATGCATTCTGCTACAGGGTGAGGTTTGAAGAAGTCTGAAGGACCTTGATGAAGACCTGGATGTGGTTTGAGCTGAGAGAAGTTTTGTAGATGCATTCACAGAAGAGATTTGGGTGACTACTGACTTCTAGTGTTAGTGAGCTACATTAGCCTTGTAGCTCCAGCGCTACATCGTGGGAAAGTGGGAAAAAATGTGTAAATGAAATTTTTCGCATTGTGCTGCTGAGTGAAGCACTGCTTCAGAGCGTGTATCAGCACCTGCAGGGTTATGATGGCCTTCCGCTTCATCAGGAAGTGTTTCCTCGTCAGACAGGCACGGAACCATCTCTGCAGGATGAGGATACGGCGCATCACTTCCCTGTAGAGGGTTTCCTGGAGCTTCTGTCTGTCCACCTCCTTCAGAAACACCTGTGGAGAGAGACAGGTCACAGGTTATAGACAAAAGAACGAGGGGTTTATTCGAATGGTCAATCTGAGCACACAGCTGTCCAGGTGGGAACCTTGGTCTTGCCGATCTGGAAGCTGGAGTCGTCTAGGCCGGTTTTGCGCAGCAGGTTAGTGATGTCCTTCTGGGGTGTGGAGGGATTTTTCGGCAGCAGAACCCTAAACTCATCTGTGAACTCCTGTTGGAAACGATAGGTGTTGAAACTTTTAACACTGTTTAGAAGCATCTTCAGCAGTCTAGGCCCAGTCCCAATTCTTCTTTTCAGCCCTACCCCTTGTTTTCGAGTGTTGCCCCTTGGAACTGAGTTACAGGGTAGTGGTTGAGATCTTCCCTCTGAAATGGGACCCTCAAATAAAAAGAGCATCACTTCATTAACAGCTACCAGCGCTGCTCTGTAGGAGACCCTGCCAGTCTGCAGTGACAGCAGAGGAGGGTAAAGTTCAGCTCCTCTCTGCTGGGCTTTAGTTACATTTAGGGCATCATATGATCTTCAAAGAGGGGGGCAATTATTTATTATCACCCACCCCTAATTCTTCAGTGATATGAAGCTGAAGTCAGATATTCACCAGCTTCTTGTTTGAATTTTCCTGTTCCACCTTAAATGGAGCAGCAGTTCTGACACTTGTGGCACCAGAATGTAACTGCTGGACTATTTAAGGTGGAACGGGAAATTTCACTAGCTAGCTACCGAGACGTCAGCGCTACTAGCATTTTTTATGCTTGTTATGAAGAAAAGGACCAAAATACACTGAAACGACATTAAACTAAGATAATGTTTATCGTAATTTTTTAACAGAGAAAATTCTCACATTTGTGGGTTTCTTTGGTCTCTTGTTCTCCGTCTTGCCAGTTTTCCTTTTTTTCTCATAACTCTCTGTTTGGAGTCTCTGAAAAACCTCCGTTTAGAGGGTCATGTAGCTCTAACACTTCACCCCCCCCTCTATCTCAACAACAATCAGGACACCCTACCCCTGGACGTGAGGGGTAGGGCTGAGTGGTAGGGGCGAGGGGTGAAATGGGACTGGGCCTAGATTTCCATTCACTTCACTTAGTGAGTATGAAACAAGCATGCAACAGCTTTAACATCAAGAGGACAGGTGTGCAAGATTACCTTGAAGGTGTACTTGGCTCCGTATCCGGACCTCTTGATGCGAACCGTCTCCAACATACCTGTGTACCTCATCTGCTTAAGGACGAGATCTTCATCAAACTGCATTTCCCTCTGAAAACACACGGTTCAAACACAGTCAACTAAAGGAAGCTGTGTAAATCATGAAGCCTCGATTCTGAGGAGAACTCCACTCTACCTTCTCCGCGTTGGACCTGATGCAGCGGACGAAGAACGGCTCTGCTTTCTTCAGCGTGTCCAGCAGCCTGACCAGAGACGTCTGCACGACACGAGACATTACAGCACGTATTGATTTGCCCATCAGTGTCCATTAAGTCCCACCAGCATTAGCACATCAGCAACCTCAGCGTCTGAACCTTCCCTCTCATTTAACTGCGCTGCTACAGAGGCTCTCAAGCAAAGATGGAAAACACATTCTGCAGGTCGAGGACTGATGAGCCCTGCAGAGAAGTGGACTAGGAGTAGTTTCCACTGGGGCAGTTCTCAAAATCTAGCCCTCCTTACCTGTTTCCATAGTTACGCTACACCAATTTCCATGGATACGCTACACACGTTTCCATGTTTAAGCTACACTCATTTCCATAATAATGCTACAACTATTTCTATGGCTATGGTACACCTGTTTCCATGGTTATTGTAGACCTGTTTCCATGGTTATGCTACACCCAATTCTATAATTACGCTACACCATTTCCATAATTACACTACACCTGTCTGTTTCCATGGTTACAACATGTTTACCATAATTACCTGTTTCCTACAGTTACGCTACACCTGTCTGTTTCCATGGTTACACTCAACCATTTCCATAATTACCTGTTTCCATCCCCAATTCTATAACTACGCTACAAACCATCTCTATAACTACGCTATAACTACTCTTGTTTCCATGGTTACACTACATCCACTCTCACGGTCGGGCTACAGCCATTTGATGATTATGCTACGGCCGTTTCTATGGTTACACAACACCTGCGTGAAAGTGAATAACGTGAACACATGAAAGTTATTAGCCATAAATCAGTATAAATCAAACGGAGTCACTGATACTAGTTTCAGTTCTGTTTTTTCTGTTAGCACGTTTACTCGAGTCGTTCTTTTAATCTTCTACTTTTCTTCCACCTCTGGCTCCTCCCACTCCCGAAACCACACCCACGCTCCTGCCAGCATGACCAACCTGAAACTGGGCGCTGATGCTGGGAGGCTTCTTCTTCTTGTGAAGGTGCAGAAGAGACCTGGTGTCTCGATTATGCAGGTTGAGATCCACAATGAGCTTCAGAGAGCGAGAGTCGATCAGGTTCTGCCCGGGATCAGAAAGAGGGAGAACAGAGCGCTACTCAGTCTGGACAGTGAGGAGAGACGGATCTTAGAGGAACAGTTCGGTGAAAAAAAATATATATTTCGGGTTCTTTAGTGAAGACAATGGTTCCATATAGAACCATGAACACTCAAAGAACCATCTGTATGCTTAAATGGTTCTCTGAATGGTGAAATCGCTCTTTGGACAGATGGAGACTGTGTTGTATACGGTTCTATATAGCCCTGAAAAGTGTTGTTCTACTGTTACGATGTCAAGCTTGTAAGCTCTTTTTGGTGCCATACAGAACCATTTCACCATGCAAATGGTTCTTTAACTGTTCATAGTTCTATACAGAACCACTGTCTTTCTTAAAGAACCATCTTTAAGAGTGTATGTCTTGGCTGATCAACTGTTTTTGGGACTGGTACTGACGATTACAGTAGAAACGTACCTTAGGAATGAGCTGCTTGTGTTTGTTAGCCCGGTTCTTCCTGGCGAGGGGAGAAAAAAGGCCGAGAGGAACATTTTAAGACAACATGACTCCACATTATCAATGTAGCTGGTTTATTGTTCACAACCAGGGCTGGGCATCGAATTTCAATACTGATATGGTCCCGACTGTACTACGTCAGAAAAACTGAGTATGGTTTAATACAGTCAGAGTCAGCGAGCCAATAAACATGCTTGTTCCAAAATCTAGGAGTTATTAATGTTATTAACCATATCCAACCAGTAACACATTCAGAGTCTATATCTTTATATTTTAAGACTGCTTTAATTCGTGCGCTGAGCAGCTGGAGAGCGTGTATGTCGGTTCAGTTTGTGGAACTGGAGCGCTCTGTGAGCTATCGTGTTTCCTATCACTGTGTAAAAGAAGCTCCATGCTGCCTTTATTGTCGGATGCACCACGATGGCCTCTCACATTCAGAACACAATTAATTTCATAATATGTTTCAACTGACAAAAACTTTTATTCATATAAAAAAATATATAAAAAGACTTTTTTTTTTCTAAAAGCTAGTTTTTAAATCAAATTTACAGCTATGTAAGGTCACGTTCTTCAGATATGAAATTAACACGTGACAACAGTATTAAAAAAATCACAAAAGCAGATTAAATGGTAGAAACAGACACTCCTTTTCAGTTGGCTTTAAAGGGTTAACATTTGCAACGGAAAATTAAATAAAAATTAAGTAGGTAAGACCAAAGGCTGATTTTAATTAGCCTTTTACATCATGTGGGCTAAACAGCAACTTGAAAATCACATTTCCAGCACTTGAAATTAGCTGAAGTCACTATGAATAACATTATTTCCTTTCTTAAGAGGCGCGCTGGCATTTTAAATTGTTCAACCACAAAAATGAGTTGTCTTTTTGTGGAAAGTAAGAGGCGACTGGCCATTTAGTGCAATGAATCCTGTATAATTATGCTGTGATATTTCAGTTCAGCTGTAGCAGCTGTAATACCTCGCGAGTGAACCTGCCTTGCTTTATTTACCTCGTACACCTGCAGAACAGACCAGACACATACTAATAACCGAACTGGCTGACTGCGTATTTGGAGCAAATGAATTCCAATCTTGGCTGATTCTGATTGTTGCATCACTAGATCCCTAGGTTTTCCTTAGCGCATCACTTTTACGTATTTAAAACAAGAACGCTGAAAACAGCGTCGTTCAGGAATCAGTACTGAAGTCGACGTATCAGTATGGAGGAGTTCTGATCGATACCCAGCCCTGGTAGGAAGGTCAGGAGCTCTGGAGCCGCTGAGGCGGTGCAGAGGTGCGGTGTGAGGCCCAGACTCACTGAGAGAACTGCCGTAACTTCCTCACAGAAATGGTGGACAGACGGAGCTTTTGAGGAACTTCACCACCTAACCGCTTAATGGCGCACAGGACTTTGGCATGCAATTCCCTGATTTAACCCCAAGCACAGAGCAGTAGAGACAGAGGGGTGCAGAGAGGGGAGAGATTAGAGAGTTCAAACAGGTAAAATCAACATCTGATTAGTGCAACACCGGGATTAAAGCGACAGTTCTGGGAAAAATCGTATTTTAACCAGTATGCCCCCCCCCACCTTTCTCCAAATGCAGGCTAAGAAGTAATGGGAGCCTATACCCCACCAATTAGCACTGTGCTAACTGCATGCTTAAATCATCACATGCTTGCCTCAAACATTACGTAAAACATTGAACTGTTACTTCATCAACACAAATAGACACAAAAATGGACAAAAGTACATTAGCATAGCTAGAAACAGTAGCAGCCAGTACTTTAGTCCATGTTTATAGATTAAAGTGAGTCATACAGAGTCAGAAACCACAGAATCAAGACTATTAGAGATACTGAGCACCTCCACATGCTTTGAGGCAAGCATGTGATGATTTAGGCCTGGAGATAGCACCATGCTAAATATGCTAACATAACCATCTATTATTTGTTAGCTAGTAGCTCCAATCATAGAGTGCGTTTACATGCTCTCAATAATCCGATCACAATCAGACTTCTGCAGTCACCTGATTATTCAAATGGTCGTGTAAACAGCAAACTCTGAGTTCTTAGATCAAAGTAAGGTCAAGAAATCTAAGAAATCTGATAAAGAGGCTGGATTTTAGCTCAGTGATCAGATTTCTCAGTGCATGTGAACCCTTACTCTGATTTCTTTCCGATTTCTCAGTTTGAGCATGTGCGAAAACAGACGGCAGTACCGGAAATAAGCGAGCGACACTGAAACCTCGACGAAATGAAGGATTTAAATATTCTTCATCTTCTAGATGATGTTGTTCATATAGTCACAAAGTGACTCAATGTTTAAAAAAAAGACACTCATGAAGTTTGAGTTCTGTGTCCTATTTAAGTCGTGTCTTATCCTGTGAGTTTATTGGCTGGTTGTAAAGCAGAAATCTGATTATTGTCTGACTCATGTAGACCTGGAGTTTCCCCATTATTTGATTACTCGATTGCATGAAAAAGCATTGATTGGTTTACTGACAAAATCTGATTTTCTGCAGTTATCGGATTATTAAGTGCATGTAAACACACTCATGGTTGACCAATCAGACTTTCTGCAAAGGGAAAAGTCTGTAACCTCGGACTTTTCATCGAACTGTCGCTTCAAAACAGTCCAGTCACCCAATTCCATTAAACAGTGTCCAAAGAAAAGCCATAAAGATGATGAGGACCCAGAGGAACCTGTGAGAGAGAGTGAGCATTCAATCAGAAACAGGTTCGGCGTCTTACTTTTTACTCTCGAACGTAGCGAAGATGTCCTCGAACACCTCCAGAGGGTTCTCCTCAGAGCGGTCGAAGGAGAAGTCGATGAGAGAGCGCTGACTGCAGAGGGAGAGAGACATCACAACGATTTACAGCCTGGAGTGAACCTGCAGCTCTCAATGCAGCACTAACATCATCACACGGAGCCTAATAACCTCGATATATGATCATACTTATCCCCAAACCACTAACTCACTGCTCATATGAATAATGTATAACGTTTTATAAACATGCATAACCTTTACAATGTAGTTTTAAATATAATAAACTAAACTCTAGGATATTTTTAGATGTTTTGTTCAATATTCAGTATTAATCGATTAATATTGTCTGAAATATGAAGAAATTCTGGATGTTAACTTCATTTTTGATGTTATACAGTCGTTTTACACTTTTCTACAGCTCTGTTCATCATTCTGGACACATTTAAAACCATCCTGCTGATTATCTGTGAAGTTGTATGGCAACAACATCATTTCAGAATCATTTTATACATTTATCTGAAACTTACTGACTCCAAACTTTTGAACGGTGGTGTAATTCAATATAATAATTCAAAAACAACACTGACTATAATTTATGCTTCAATATAATAAATCTCTTAAGAGCTCCCATGACCTCCTCACCTCATCAATCTGCCAATGGCTGAAGTAGGTGTCTTCATTTCCCTCAGGGAATGTCGGGAATAGCGCCTGATGGAGTCTAACAGCAGAAACAGTTCACATCACTGCATCACTTATACTGTACTGAACATGCAACATGAATTTGTGGCACCAGTTAGCAACAATGCAACTATAACAGTAGGAATTATGCCTTGTGCTTCCACTAACCGGCCACTTTATCAGAAACACCCTCCTTGTACTTCCAGTAACTGGCCACTTTATTTTAAACACCCTCCTTGTACTTCCAGTAACTGGCCACTTTATTATAAACACCCACCTTGTGCTTTCATTAACTGGCCACTTTATTAGAAACACCGTCCTTGTGCTTTCATTAACTGGCCACTTTATTAGAAACACCCTCCTTGTGCTTCCACTAAGTGGCCACTTTATTACAAACACCCTCCTTGTGCTTCCAGTAACTGGCCACTTTATTAGAAACACCCTCCTTGTGCTTCCACTAAGTGGCCACTTTATTAGAAACACCCTCCTTGTGCTTCCACTGACTGGCCACTTTATTAGAAACACCCTCCTTGTGCTTCCACTGAGTGGCCACTTTATTAGAAACACCCTCCTTGTGCTTCCACTGAGTGGCCACTTTATTAGAAACACCCTCCTTGTGCTTCCACTCACTGGCCACTTTATTAGAAACACCCTCCTTGTGCTTCCACTGAGTGGCCACTTTATTAGAAACACCCTCCTTGTGCTTCCACTAACTGGCCACTTTATTAGAAACACCCTCCTTGTGCTTCCACTGAGTGGCCACTTTATTAGAAACACCCTCCTTGCGCTTCCACTCACTGGCCACTTTGTTAGAAACACCTACCCTGTACTTCCATTCAGGTGATAAAGAATGGACATTACCTGGGTGTTCTGCGGCCCGGCGGTGGCCGGCCTCTTTAAAAGTGGCCACTGTCCGTACGACGGCTCGCAGGATGCCCCAGCGGAACACGGCCACAGGATCTGAGCCAATCAGCTGCCTCAGGTAGCCCCGCTCACTGCTGCGCAGCAAAGCCACCATGTCCGGCCGCATGTGGTCAGTGTTCTTCGCCCTGAAGTCCTGCAGAACACACACACACACACACGAGCTTACGCTTAGTAGAGAGTCTGCCTCTGTCGGGTCTTCAGACCCGATACGGACACGTCTGGTCATAATGATTTATAAGTAAGCCACACCTGCAGTACTGTAACATTACAGTACAGTTACTGTAGAGACACTCAGATCACAGATCACACACAGGGCTGGTTCTGCAGACTTGGATTAAGCCCACACACTTAAAGATGGTTCTTCAAATGGTTCTTTACTAAAGACAGTGGTTCTATTTGGAACTATTTGTGTGAATGAATGGTTCTCTGCATGGTGAAATGGTCCTTCAGATTGATGGAGAATGTTTTGTATATGGTTCTATACGGATTTTTTTTGAAAATGGTTCTATATAGTGCCAAAGAGAGTCTGTTACGATGCATGTGAACCCTTTTCGGTGCTATGTAGAACCATATACAACACATTCTTAATCAACCTGAAGAAACATTTCACCATGTAAAGAACCATTTAAGCATGCAATCCCTTTGAATAGCCATCTTTTCAATCCATATCTTTATTTATATAACTATATTTATGTTTGTGGTTATTACAACATTATTCAGTGTTTTTGCTGGTGAAAACACACTTTAACACTTTTGCACAGTACTGTAAGCCCACAGAACGTCCAGAAAGCTCTTTCCCAGTTTTCTTTAGAGCTTTTCTTTACCTTTATCTGGTATTTGACCTTGCCGGCGTAGTGGAGGATGACGAAAGCCGGCTCCATGACCGGCGTGGGCACGAAGAACTGGTTCTCCTGATGCTGCTGCTTGAACTTCTCCAGCAGGGTGTCGTCTGTGGCGTGAGGAAAACTACAAACACGAGGAGACAAGAAAAAAAAGAGGATAGTACGTTCTTCAGGAAAGAAAATAGTTCTATATAACCACAAACGCTCAAAGAACCCTTTGCATGATTAAAGGGTTCTTTGCATCGTGAAAGAGTTCTTCAGATTGATGGAGAACGTGCTGTAGATGGTTCTTTTCAGCACAAAAAAGGGGTTCTTCTATTGTTACAGGCTTGATATCATAATAAGAAAAGAACCCTTTTTTGCGCTATGCAGAACCCTTTTCAAAAAGGGTTTATACAGAACCATCTTTGAGTGTTCATGGTTCTATACAGAACCATTTCTTTACTGAAGAACACTTGAGGAACCGTTTTAAGTGTACGAGGCTAATGTAGCTAACAAGTAACAAAGGAATCTTTTAAAGATGGTTCTTCAAATGTCTTTAATATTTAGAACCATGAGTTCTACATAGAACCATTTCATGCTTTAATGGTTTTTTGCACGGTGAAATGGTTCTTTAGATTGATAGAGAATGGGTTGTATATGGTTCTATATGCACCAAAACGGGTTACAAGAAAAAAAGGTCCGTCATGGAACCAAATAAAACACTCTTCATCAACCTGAATAAGCAAAAAGAACCATTTAAGCATGAAATGGTTCTATACAGAACTAATGGTTCTAATTAGTAACCATTCACTTTACTGAAGAACCCTTAAAAAAAACATTTTTAGAGTGTAGCTTTACACAGTGAAACTTTAATGCAACTAGTTGCACGTTGCGAGTTACCTGCGATGCAACTTCCATGCAACAAATTCACAAATGATAAAAGTTGCACGCAACACATCTGATTGTTACCCTAGTTAGCCAAATTAGCAGCACCTGTTTTTTTGGTACACTGCATCTTCTAGTACTATTAGCTGCTATTCTCTTAGCTACTTTAGCCTCGTAGCTCCAGTGCTAACACTAAAGAAATCTTGCTCATCAGTAAGACAGAGCTGAAATGGATGGGATGCCTCAAGGGCGCAGCCACATCGTGGTCAGTTAGCTGGACTGTTCACCGTGGTTCTTCTCACTCACCTGCTCTCCTCGTCCAGCAGGTACAGCAGGCCAGTGGGCTTCTTGCTGATCAGGTTAATGCAGCCGATGTTATCAGTGTAGTCCACGTTGCTCCAGGTGATCCCCTCCGACACGTACTCCTCCTGCAGCAGATCAGCACAACACACGGTCATGTGGGTCCAGTTCATAGAATTTACTTGCCCGCTTTTAAGGTTTGTGGGGGTTTAGATACCAAAACCAGTCATATTTCATTTTTACATGACCATTTTCTGTCATCTCCATCACTTATAGGCTGTTTTTGTTACTGTGCCTTTAAGACTGGTCTGCCTCCTCCGCAGACTGAGCTGGTAATTGATCACCTTCTAATATATATATACACAGTGTGTTGTACTGTGGTGCACTGACTGCTGGGTAACACATTATTTTATTCATTTATTTTATCATTTTTCTTTAAATGTATTAATTTCTACTTTTATTTTCTGACTTTTTGGTTTTCCAGTCTGGGTCAGTATTATTTTATTTTGCTCACATTTGTGTCCCTAAATTTCCAGGCTGTTTATTCATTGTTGTATTTGTTGCTATTGCCAATGAACTGATATGTGTAACTGAAATATGTAAATAAGCTCTGTTCCAATTGGCTGTCCAGTATCGTGCCTCATTTAGGCACCAGTTCATGGTGAAACACTCCTTATAGTGTTTCAGTGCGAATGGGCGGAGCTAAACCTCTGTGGGCTGAGAAGACGGATATATGTGCTGGTTTTTGTGACATCACAAAAACAACAACTTCAAAATGAGCTGTTTTTTCTAGCTTGCACTCTTAAAAAAGATGGCTCTTCTAGGGTTCTTTAGTAAAGAAAATGGTTCTATATAAACCCATGAACACTCAAAGAACCCTTTGCATGATTAAAAGTTTCTTTGCATCATGAAAGCGTTCTTCAGACTGATGGAGAATGTGCATGAATGTGTTATAGAAGGTTCTATATGGAACCTTTTTGAAAAGGGTTCTATATAGCAACCAAAAGGGCTTGACATCGTCTTTACTGAAGAACCCTTGAAGAACCATTTTAAGAGTCCGAGCGCCGCTGTAACTGACCTGCTCCAGTCTGAATATGTGCTGATTGCAGTAGTGCTGCAGCTGCTCGTTGGCGTAGTTAATGCAGAACTGCTCAAAGCTGTTCGTCCTGAAGTCCTCAAATCCAAATATGTCCAGGACTCCTATGGACAGACACTTCAGACACACAGCACACGGAACCGTTATCAGAACATTCAGAGCATTATCGTCCTCATAAATCTGAATAAAACATTCCAACAGATCATAACAAAGCTAATCACAATGCCTCCATTCAGAGTGCCATTAAATAAATATTCATTTTGCTTCTAAAAAGGAAGGTTCTTTAATAAAGACGATGGTTCTATATAGAACCATGAACACTCAAAGAACTACGTGTATGGTTAAATAGATCTTTGTATGGTGAAATGGTTCTTCAGATTGATGGTTCTATATAGCACCAAAAAGGGTTCTGCTATTGTTACAAGCTTGACATTATCGCAAGAGCAGAACCCTTTTTGGTGCTATATAGAACCATATACAACATATTATCCATAGCTAACTGCCCATACAGTAATCTGGATGATAAATCGCCATATATGCACATATATCATAAAGGCTCAGGCATATGCCTTTACATATATATATATATATATATATATATATATATATATATATATATATATATATATATATATATATATATATGCAGACATACATATGGAATAAAAAACATATATATGCAATAAAAACCACTTATATTAAATAATAAGAAGCTAGCATATATACGTACACCATCCATATACGATTAATGCTTTTTATCATATATTTTTAAGCATATGCTTATGTATTTTGATATATCACTGAAATATATGTCCCATATTTGACAGTGGCCAATTATATATGTGACTAATCTACATTAGGGATATAAGGAAAATCCCTATATGCTAATATATGTCATATATTTGAAATCCATATATTGTTATGTATCAGATTTCCAGTAGGTGCAGCTACACAAGTCACCTCACTGACGCCACCACGCCGCTCTATGTGCTACAGATCAGAGTGGACTGTGCTGTGGAGGGTATTTAATTATCCTGATGTAATTATTGTGCATTTGTGTCATTACTGTTAGTGGTTAGCGAGTTAGCGAACTTCAGTCTTGCACGTTTTCCAACGCGAATCTGCTGAAGTCTAGAGCGACTGCGGGCTGAGCGTAACTTCAGCTATACAGCTGGCCACACCATCAGCTTAGATGTGTTACTTTGATCTGAACCTGAATCTGATGATGTGGAAAGCTACTGCTGTGTGTTCCGCCTTGTTTTGTGGAAGTAAACAAACATGCTCCACATTCCTCCACGATTTCTCAGTGTTTATCACCGAAGCTCCGAGCCGGAGAATAAACACACTGAATTCACTGCATACCTCACTGCTGATGATGTAACATTAACAGTTCTTGACTTCTAAAGAACAAAGCCAGTTAACGAGGCTCTGTTATTCAGCTTAACTGCTCGAGGGCCTTTCACTGAACCTGGCTAACTAGCTTCAGCCTCGCAGCCTGAAAAGCTCTCCAGGATTTCATAAACACAGCATTTCTCCAGCGCGTGGACCGCGGTTTAGCTCCGTACCGGGACGGACTCCTCCATGTCCCTCTTGTTCAGCAGAGCGTGGTTGATGCGCAGGACGATCCAGTCGAACAGTGAGCTGTACAGAGACTTAGCCATGGAGTCTCGGGCTGTGATCGCCTGCAGAGAAACAGGGTTAAAACAGAAATAACGTTAAGAATCTCACAGCAGCACCTGCCCCAACAGTCAGGAGCGCCCAGCCTGGACAGAACCACCACAGGTCCTCACTAACGGACACGCACAACAGGAGAAAAGTGGACAAAAGTCATCACCCTTACAGGAAAGTCACTCATATTTCACCCGTGAAGTGTGAGAAAACCACATACGTTCATAAGTAATCACACGTGAACGCATTTTCACGTGATAACCTATTTTTAACATGTGAAGTGTGCAGAAACCACGTGACCTCAGCCTGATTTCATCTGTAATTGGTCACTGTTGATAGGCAACAGTTTCAAATAGCATAAAAACAGAATGGAGCATTTTATAACAGCAAGACAGGAAAATAAGAATTTAACAATAACGTATAGTAACAGTTTGATTTTAAATAGATGTAAATATAATTTTAAAATATACAATTAATATATGTACATGTAATGTCAAAATATTTTAGAATAATCATGTTTTACAGTACTTCAAAGTTATAATAATAATAATAATAATAATAATAATAATAATAAAGCTTATTGTGAGTAACAATCTTTAAACTGGTCTTACATTGACGTAAATACGTATATAATAATGTAATATATCAAACTTATTTATATGTAATAGGATTATAAAAACAACGATAAATATATAATATAAATAAAAATAACAGGTTTTTAATAGTTTATAATTACATGGCAGTTTTATATTGATCTTTAATTGATCCAAACATATTTTACAACTTTTATAATAGAATGCAGCAATATTTTATAGTAGCTATAAATAATAGTTTTACAATAGTTTAGAACAACTGATCATAAATAGATGTAAATATATTATAAATATATGTAGTAAAGTTTTCTGTACTTTCAATAACACTGAATAATAATAATAATAATAATAATAATAATAAAAAATTGGTCTTAATTGACAAATATAAGAAGTTTAAGATGTAACAGAATAATATAAAAATATAAGAGTATGCAATAATATAACAGGATTTTAACATATAATAATATAGCAGTTTTATACTGATCTTCAAATATTATATTTCTGCAAAAATATTTAAATTTTATATAATAGAATGGAGCAATATTTTATAACAGTTTTACAATAATTTATAATAATATAATTGATTTTAAATACATGTAAATATAACTTAATATAACCCTGAGATATGTAATAGAATATCATAAAAAACAATAATGGTTTATAAAAATATAGCTTTTAATAGTTTATAATAATATTAGTTTTATATTGATCTTCAATCGATCTGGATCTACCTTTTAGATAATTTCATAAACGTATAATATCTGTAACTCTAGTCCTGAGAGCAGGATGTGATCATGGACCTCAGAGAGAGGCTCCTACCTCGCTGTGCGTGTACGGAAGGATCAGGACGTCGTTGGCGGTCATGGCTCTCCTCTTGGTCAGCGCCTCCACCAGCAGCTCCTTCTTCACCTGCGCTTTCAGAAACATGACTGAGCGGAGCAGCAAGGCTGGAGTTTTAATAAAGCCACCAATCAGTGACTCATCAGAGCTCAGCATGTGAGCGCTCAGGTGTTCCTGAGCAAACTGACTAATACTGACAGCTCTGTGATGCTGCTACGCTGGAACAGGGATGAGCTCAGGGTTGGGCAGAGCGCTCTGAGACAGGACGACGGCCGAGCACTGAACACACTGCATATTACATCACTATACATTAAAAATACCATATTCAGAATGCACTGAGAGTAGAGCTGGGCGATATGGCAAATGTATAACTTTCACGATACACGATATGTCATGATATTTATTTTTTCATACATCTGTTGTGACAGAAAAAAGAGCCAGTAGGGCTACATAAAAAATATATATATATATATATATTTTTTTTTAAGCTAAATCCAGTTAACCTCACTATCAGTCTTGGACTACAGTGATGTAGTTTATAGACACAGATCAGAATAAACTTTACTGTCCATTTCCAGAAATTTGTCTTTGGCTTCACCAGCGTGCACAAAATAAAAAAAATAGATAAATATCCACAACAATAACAACAACAACAACAACAACAACAAAACGTACGTACAAATATAAAACACAACACACAAGAACACACGCCAGCTTCACCAGAATAATTACAGTACGGCCTCATCATCAAACCACTTCAGTAGCTCAAGGATTCATCAGAAAAATTCCATAAGGAATAAATGACTTCCTAAATTATCCCTAATATTTTTGGTGGTCCGAGGTGCCCAGTAACGCCAGTACCCTCAGACCATCTCTCACTCCACTCTGAGATTCATTACTGCACTCACTACACTGTGAGAAATAAAGGTTCTGTTCAGGTACGTTTTTCGTTCCTCAAGGTACAAACAGTGTAAATGTTCCCTCAAAGCTCCAACAGTGGTTTTAAGGTCTGATTGTGAACCTTAAATAAGTGTTTCCAGGTGAAAAGTTCGTATTTGTACCTTTTCATAACCGAATGTTTTAAACAGAACAGTAAAATAAAAGCCTGGAGACGAGACGGGGTGTGTGGAGTCAGTACAGCTTAGAACATATCATTTCAGTGGATTATGGTTCAGTTATGTTCCCTGACTAAAGGGACTGAGATGGAGCCTTGAGGGTTCCACCCCAGTGAAAAGAGGGGAACCACCCCAGAGACAGTTTACTACCTTTATTTCTGAGAGTGTAGCTGGAACTGTGTGAAAAAGCTGGTTGGTCTATGATCTCTAAATAACAGTAATTATCAGAGTATAGAGAGAGTATATACAGAGGTTTTACTGAACTGGGAAAATCTGCTTTATCTGCAGAGCACCAGTGAGCTGAGTTCACAAAGGGAGTCTCTAAAGCTCAGCTCACTCTGTCGTTTTACACTTTTACTATCTAATCATCTTCAGACAGCCTGGAACTGCTTTCATTCATCTTTTTCCACTTTACTCAATTTTCTCCACAGTTTAGTCGTCTCCAGTTCCACCCTCTAGTTCTAGACTCCCCCAATCACACGATAGCCCAAGCTCTAGGAGGGTGAAGACAAACACAGTCTTCCTCCGAGTGCTGTGAAGCTCCACTGCATCTTTTCAAGCTGCTGTTGTACAGCTGAACACGCTTGGAGGAGAACACTAACCACCAGTTCTGTTCAGTTCTAACAGACGCCTACACTGGCTGGCATCTCGCTGAGCGATGGGGAGACGGGGGGCCGTCCTACACACTTAAAAAGGTGGTCCTACAAGGGTACTTTAGTAAAGACAATGGTTCTATATAGAGCCATGAACACTCAAAGAACAATTTGCATGATTAAAGGGTTCTCTGCATGGTGAAATGGTTCAGACTGACGGAGAACGTGTTCTATATAGCACCAAAAAGGGTCCTTCTTTTGTGACGATGTCACGCTTGTAACAATAAAAGAACCCTTTTTGGTGCTATATAGAGCCAACATGTTCTCCATCAATCTGAGAACCACTTCACCATGCAAAGAATTTTAATCATGCAGATGGATCTTTGACTCTCTACAGAACCACTGACTTTACTAAAGAACCCTTCAAGAACCTTTGTTAAGAGTAGTTTAACCAAATTTCATGTTTGATGTTTGGTTTTACAAACTCAGTGCTGTTTCCAAACCTCTGGCCTGCAGCGTGCTGAGAAGAGGAGGGACGTTACCTTGAGGAGGTCAGAGAGAGTGGACAGGACGTCCGCAGGTCCCACCGTCAGACCCTCGCCGTCAGCCTTCGCCTTGTACGTCAGGTTCCCCAGGTACAGAATGGCAGACAGTACGGAGAAGATCCTGAGGGCAACAGAGGAGAAACTGAGCTTCATAATGATGAGGAGGATATAAAAAAAAATCAATTAATCTCAGCAATAAGTGAGTTTTAATCAGTAAAAACACCACATGCAGTCATGTGAAAAAGTTTGAGCACCCCTGGTCAAATGACAGTTTGTTGATGTTCTAAGTGAAAATTAGTGAACACATCCTCTGCAGAGAACACGCTTAAATATGGCACCTTTAAACAAAATGATGTTTTATTCTCCCCTCTACGTTAGATTTAGCAAATAAACAGTGATTGTATTATATTGTATATATATATACATATATATACACACACACACACACACACACACACACACACACACACACACACACACATATATATATATATATATATATATATATATATATTTATATATATATATATATATATATAAATATATATGTTTATTTGGGCTGGGCAATTTATCGTTATTGTGCTATATCATTTCACAGTACAATATGTTTTTCTGATCATATCGTGTTTATCATCAGCGCTTGCTGACACTGACCAACTGCATGTTTCATTATAAAGAGAGTAAAAATAGTCCTGTTAAATCAATCAATCAATCAATCAATCAATAAACCTTTATTTTTAACCTGAAATATTGAGGGTGACCCTCATTTTCAGGGCAGCTGAGAATTTACAGTGTAAAGGAACTAAAAAGAAAATAAAATGGAATTTAGTCAGTTAAACTAAAATGAAAATCAAACAAGATAAAAGGGAAAAAAATGGAACAATTAAGACTTAATTAAGAAGCGGAACAATACAATAAAACCAAGATGCAGTGTTTAAAACCAATTAATAAAATGAAAAAGTAATAGAATTAAAAACTACGATTTTAATTACTCTAATAAAGTGAAACAAAATAGAATGATAAGAAAAAAATAATAAAATTAAATAAAAAGAAGAAACAGTTACAGTCTGTCCGAAGGTGCCAAATATTTTATATATATATATATATATATATATATATATATATATATATATATATATATATATATATATATATAAAAACAGCTTTGCATTGCTGTTAAATCAACAGCAGAGTTACAGCTTAATTTAATGTTATTTATATATATATACATATATATATACATATATATATATATATATATATATATATATGTATATAATCATTTATGGTTTCTCTCCCGTTTTTCACAGTGCAGCAACAAAACCACTTTAATCAATAACATTACAGTGTTGCTCACACTGGAGTGAAACTCTACACTGGCGCCTGTTTCTGTTTTCACAGGCTGCAGATCACACAGATATTTGTCATTATTTCCAATAAAGGACAAACAGGTGTCAGACTAGTGCCGGTTAATGAGGTGGGGACTATTAGATGAGGTGATGACACACTGAAGCACGGCAGCACCAGATCAGGCCTGAGGCAAGTCCACTGAACTGCATTACCTGATTAGTAACAGCAGAAAAATAAACACAATCCAAACAAATAATGACACATAGTATTAAACAAACGTCAGAGACTTCCCCTCATTTATCTCAGCTCCAGTCAAAACAGCCATCAGGTATGTTATCGATCTGTCAGTGTCAAAAAACCAATAAATTAAAAAATGAAATGCATTTTGAAAAGAATTCACACAAGCTTCAAAAACAATCTTCTCAAAGAATCTGCAGACACACCTCCAAAGTTCAGTCTTAGAAGCTGGTTGATGATTTTCTGAAGTAATCAAACACATTCAGTGGTGTTGAGGTCTGGACTCTGGGGTGGTCAGTCCATCGTTCAGCTTCTTTGTTTGATGTGTCCGTCTCCTTTTCTCAGTGAGGTTCTTCTTGATCAGCTACACATCCTTTCAGACCCACAGCGCTGAGTCGTCTCCTCACAGTGGAAGGATGGACAGAAACACCTGTGGATGTTTTCAGATCTGAAGCAGCTTGATTTTCTCCTCTCTCTCAGAGATGAAAGCTTTAAGTGCTGTTTATCTGATGGGGGCAGTTTTGGGGTCGACCAGCTCTTCCAGGTGGTTGTTAGGGGTCACATTTGATCACGCTTTTAATCAGCTTTTCAACTCCAGTTTTTTTCCA